TTATAATACTAAGGATCCTATTGCTGAGATTTTTGTTTATTAGAAATCTTTCACTTTCCTTTCAGAGTCAGCGATTTCCAAGGCAGACCCATTCACCGGGTGTGTGTTGCATATTCTTAGATATTTGAATTTACTTTTGGCTGTTCTCAAACACTCTGGATTCAGATCAGCCTTGTTCACCAATTGGACTTGACTGCTCTGCAAGTCTTTGTCATCCATGAGTTTTATTACCAGTGACTTAATATTTAGTTTCAGATTATTGGGAATGCTTGGCCTACTGCAGACCTCTGTGGAATCCCACCAAAAACCTAATTCCCAGTGGATTGTTTTGTGTACTTGTGGGTTTCCTACTGCATGTTCATTACAAGACCTTCTTTGGGGGCTTTGGTGAATTCTCGAGTGGCGGGAAGGATACCTCCCAAGGGGTCTAGCTGGCCAAGTTTGGCTGATGTGATAAATGTCATCAAATTTAAACACTTTTTTGGTTGATAGTTTGTTTGGATTGTTCTTTTTTTGAATGAGTCATGTATCTATTTGTTGTTTCTTTTTTAAGTGAAAGCAAATGCTGTCTTCGAATTTCTGAAGCAGTTGTTCTATGAAAAAAAGGACAGCAAAAACTGAGCACAAGTAGTTGGATTTTTAAAAAAGAATTTAAGATGCTCTCTGCTTGAAGTAATAGTGATGTTGTGGAGCATGGTGGGCAAGTTTGATCTGAAGAATTCCAAGAATATTATGCTCTACTGGAAATGTCTAAAGTTCATTGTTTTAGTCCCTCTTTTTAATGTCAGCATTTCAACTGAGGTGAAAAATTTCACTTTTATTGAATCTGTGTCCAAAACAGCTGTAAGGAAGATGATCCTGCTTCCTTACCTGCACGATGCTTTCGGTGAAGGAGGTCTCTTTGCACAAGCTTCTGTTGTTGAAAACAGTGATCTTAGCCATGCAAGGTGCATCCATCCAACTGTGTCTAGTCCAGCAGTCATCCATGTCTCATCTTCAGATCTATGAGGATTCATGGATTGCTTGTTAGGATCAGAGAGAAATAAGGAAGAAAAGCAAACTTATTAGTATTGGGCTTAAACACTTCGGGGACTTGGTGCATTTATTGGAAAAAGCTCTGGGGGTTAATAACTCAAAGAGGATTGAAAATCACTGGTCTGGTTCAGTAGTTTGAGATTATAGACTAATGTATGAGTTGTTAAGAGCTGCCATTGAGGAGGCAGCAACAAAAGCCCCATACCTGATCCAAGAATAAACAGGCCTGGGCTTTGTCCGTGTGTGGATATGAGGCTTTAGGTGGAAAGTCTGTGAAAAGCTTGGAACTAACGGGGCAGGTATAAGATTGCTTCTGTCAGAGAAAGCAGTTTCTCCTGCAGCTCAGGAGGTAACCCTTGTGCTTTGAGATGCACAGACTCCCGTTCAGTTTTCTGTTGGAACAAATTCTTCCCGAGTAAGGACAATTGTTCGTTTGATGGCTACTTCAAGACTGGGCTGGATGCAACGAGGTAATCACTCTGCTGTCCAGATTGTACGTATCCATGCCAGGATGTACTTGCCCACTAGCTGTTTTTCATTACATTTATGGTTGAAATGGGATTTTCATTCAAAGATCTTGTGTTCAGTCAGCTATGACTTTACAAACTAATCACTGTGGGGCAGAAACTTGATGCTTGTTCAGTGATAGATGTTTGCTTAAAGTTGGAAGAAAACTTATTCAGCCACTATCTTAAGGATCAGGCATTCAAATAAGCAACTGACTTTCATCAAAATGCTTATTAAAAGATTTTTTTTTTTTTTTAATTAAAAAGCATATGAAAATAATGTAACCGTAAGGTTGACATTTGACTTCCCAGGTCAGGAAGTTAAGGTCCTTTAAAAGGCTTTAACCATGCAACCTGGGATGTTTGCGTCGGAGTAGTCTCATGCATTTCATGCATATGCAGCACGGGGGAATCCCTTCCTTCTGGGTCCACGCGGAGTCAGCTGCGTTGGCAAAGCACGGTGCTCTGTACTGCACGTATGACTCCGTGATAGACTTAGCCAATTCTCTATTTGATTTATTCTGCATCTCTGATAAGTACTGATATATTCTAACTGTATGTGTTATGTCATGTACGAGCTTCAGTAATATAATAAGCAATAGGAGAGTGCAATATCATCAGTTTCTAGTTTCCGAGATGCGGCACGTGAGAAATGCTTATTCTGTCATGGTCAGATTTGCTGCTGCTCATGTACAGAAGGATCCTGCTTTTTGGAATCTGTGTGATGAGCTCATGTTGGCCAGCAACTCTGATCGTCTTAAATGGAGTAATTGTATCCATTGAGCTCCCAATTTTGTAAAGTCTTATGCAGCTTTCCAGTCTTGTGATGTACAGCTTCCCTAAATTTTTGGTGTGATATAAGAAATCTTGGGTGAAATTCCCTGCTCTGTTAATGTATGAGGTCAGCCTAAATGATCTGTCTTGGCCTTAAAAAGAAAACAAATCCTATCACCCATGCTTGCCAGCATCTGGACGTTTTGCTGCACTATGTTGCGTGGAGGTCGTGATTCTGTGGACTCTGGAAAACTTTACTTAAAAATCCATTTGCAAATCCATAAGGAAATGTGTGACTGAGGGCTTAGGTAGTCACAGCTGGAGTATCCTGCTAGCTAGTGACAGCAGTGTGTATCTAGCTTGGGGGAAGCATGGTAATTTTAATGTATAGCATTTAAAAAGAAATCCATATCTGCTGCCTTCTTTAATGCAACATAAACTCTTCAAGCATAAGCTTTTCAGTGCTGCATCTTTAGAGAAGCACTTCCTATCAGTCAGATATATTTGATGTTGTTTGCTGCATTACATATAGAAAGCTTTGTAATTTAGCACCTGAAACACATTTCTCACTCTTCAAAGAACGACTTGGAGAGAGAGAAATTCAGGCAAAGCCTGAAGGGGTTGAAGAAAAAGAACTCCTGCTGCAGTTGCACACTTGCACACATCTGGTGCAATTGAAATTTAAGAGCTGAATACATCCACATCTGACCACAGTGGAGTCCAAACATTACTGTTGACACTGGTTTTCTTTTTGGATAGGCACATTGGCAGAGTCGCTAGCATGTGGAGCCTTGTCAGCTCTCTAATCTAATAGACTGTTCTTGCCCAGACCATTGTGTGTCAGTATTTTATATACCAAATGGAGCCAGGTTTAATAATCAGCCATTTTCCCACCTTCTGCCAAACTTTTTCCCTTTTTGTCACAATTTAATGTTTGAGTCAAAATCTGCTATGGTAACAAATTATATACATATTAAAAATGAAAATAAAGATGGAAAGCAGAGTCACAAAAGGTAACAAGAGTTCAAAGTAATGTCATCTGAGGTTTTTTTTTTTTTTGGTAAAGACTTGAATTCAACCCTGTTTTAAAATTGACTATTTCTGTTATGTATTGTGAAAAAATTACGAAGAAATTGGTACTGCTTGAAAACACGACTGTAGCTCTGTATTTATAAAATTATCAAAGTCTTCCCTGTAGAGGTCTGATTTGATCTATTTGCTTTTTAGTTACTAAACAATAATTTGAGTAGCTTTTTTGGACTGTATTTTTCTTACTTGGAATGCTTTTCTTCAGTTAGGATCTGTTGAGTCTATTTATGCTTATTTCTAGTGACTATATCTATCATGTAAAGTATGTTACCAGAAAGGTGTTTTGTTGTTTTGTTTTTTTTTAAATTGCATTTTTTTTAAATGGCCCTTCACTTGCCTTGCTGGTGGTGTGAGTTCCTGCTGTCATGTACTAGGTTAGTGATGCTGAGGACTGGGGACCTTGGAGGAGCATCTCCAGGGAGTTACCTGCCTGGTGAACACCAGCACCAGCTGGAGAGGAGCTCTGTTGCCAGGAGGGCACTGGAATGGAGTCACCCAGTTTCTTTGTGATTTTAATGTTTAATAGGTTATTTCTTACCACAGCTTGAGTGAAACTTAAACACTTTTGAAACTAAAACTTCGATCTAGCTTCCAGGGCCAGGTAAGTGCTTGCAACTCACTGTTGGTTGCATGAAGGATGCTAAAAAAGGCACGTGTATCCAAGGTATGAACCATTTTGATCGTTATAACCTGAGATGGAGCAGTTCCTGCCTTTGTCACATGCAGTGCAGGTCTAGTGTCTACTGCAACAAGTGTTCTTCATGATGGTTTTTTTGGACATGATTACACATGTGGTTTCTCCTCCCCATGTGCCATCGCTGTACTAAAGTGGGGACAGATCTGTAGCAATGGTCAGTTACTTATCTGAATTACCAGTTAGTTAATGGTTAAGTAATTTGTACTCTGAGTTCATTCCTCTTGGTAATTTAATTAGGACAGTTGTATAAGTAACAGCAATAATTGAGTGCCTTTAACATAAAGACTGGAGCCTAAAATAAATGTAAAGCATGGTGTCTTACAGTCCAGTTCCTCCACAGGTTGCAGGGCACAGTGTTCTCTGGTCTGCACTCTTTCAGCCTGTTCCTAATTGTGTGTTGGGGAGCTCTCCCAGAGATGTGCTTAGACATGATCCCAGCGTTCACTGGAACTGTTCGAGTTCTGTGACTTCCCAGGATGATTAGCGTATCTTGGTGAACAATGGTCTGAGTAACTCATTAAATTGTAGTGTATCCTCCTCCCTCTCTGTGCTTACTCCCAACTTCTGGAGAGCCGATTAGACGCTTGGCAGGAACTGTATGGTTATGCTCTAGATACGCTTTGGATACATTATTGTCACAGTTGAGGTATTGCAAAAACCATGTCGTTCCCGTCTTTATCCTGGTGAGGTACCTCTTCTGATTGTGCAATATCCGTGGCTAATTACACAGCAATTGCACTGAGCCACCAGCCACCCACAATTCATTGTCAGCTCCTTGGGGATGCACATGAAAAAGGAAAGATAATGATGTGTTTTTTTTTTTTTTCCTTAGTCCCGGGCTTTAACCTTGCTTTTTTTTTTTTTTTTTTTTTTTTTTTTTTAATCCCCTGCTCCTTCAGGTAATAAAGCCAGATGGTAGTGACAAAGAAACAGAAGCCACACATGAATCAGATGTCCCTGAGGATATGTTGGGGACTTGTGTTCCTCGAGAGACAGCGAAAGGCGATGCTAAAAGTCCGGATGTCATTATAGAAGCTCAGTTTGATGATAATGATGCAGAGCATGGACAAGACCACTTGCAGGATACGTTGGCTGATGACATTAAGAAACTTTCCCTGGATACCGGTGCAAAGGGTGAGTAGATCAGATTGCTGATTTAAACCTTTATTTGATCAAACTGGTGAAGTATTACTTTGTTGGCTTGCTTTGTTGCAAGATATAAAATACAGGCATAAAAGCTTAATGCCTTATCACTTCTATCCCTTTCCGCTAAACTGCCTTCATAGTTTTGAATGGATATTAAGGACTGGGGTTTATGTAGCTTTGATTGATGCAAAGTAAATCTGTGGAACAGAAGTCACACCTTTGGATTTGCAATTCTCCAGGCTGTCTGGGGACTGCTGGTTGCTGTTTAATTCAAGATGCTGCTGTAGCAGTTTCCTTCATGGCAGTTTGGCTGGCCAATCTACGTGCCTCAGTTTGGGGATAAGAATATATTTCCTTGGGGGCAGTTAGGTTTGTTGCTGTTTTCAAACAGTTGAGTTATGAGCAACTTAAAGATTCGGTCCATTTAAAAAGAAAATTGCACTAAAACCTAAAGCCAATTATGCGATCTGTTTTGAAGGCAAACCTGTTTTATTCTGAATCTGAATTCCATCCAAACCATCAAGTGTTGCTTATGGCAAAATAAAATAGGCTCCCCTGTCCCAAACTATGCTTATGCTGCTCTTTGCATGTCCTTTCTAGTACTAAATCCTTTCCTGAAGAGCTGCGTGTTGAAAGGATTCAGACAATTGGCACATTTAACATGTGCCTTCAGCTGCTGCTGTAAAATTTGCCAGGACAGATACTCTGGTGTGTTCCTGACACATGCCCCAGTTGTCCAGAAAAGATGGCAGTAACTTAGGACATAAGTAGTTGTTAGACTCTGACAAATCTCGGTGGTGGTTGTGAAGCTGTTCTGTTTAATACCTCATGTTTTCCTGAGAGATTGCTTTTGAAGATGCACAGACCTCCGCCTATACTGTTGGTAGACTTCCATTTTTCACACCCATCTTCTAATAAAACTGGAAATAACATTTGAGTGGAAGTGTTGTAGTTTTTACGACAAAACATTGGTTTCACTCATGAACGGAGCTGCCGCCTCACCAGTTCATGATGCTGTTTCCTTCTGGGTACCTTCACTGTCTTTGAGTGACTGCCAAGGTATGTGAACCAACTTCCGTCTTGTTCTGTTACTTTCCAGCATAGGGCTTCAGTTGGGAGTTACTCGTCTTGTCTGCGGATGTTTTATGCAACTAGTTATTAACCCCATCCTTTTTGCAGTCTTGGACACTGTGTTATAGCTGCATGCTGTTGAGCTGCCGCTTTGACTCGGCAATTCTAAATCTCCTAATGTGCTCCTGAGTCACATATTGTGTCTGTTGCCTCTCTGGTTTTGCTTCTGATAGCAATGCCAAATGAAAATTCAGAGAAATGCATTCTTGTTTGACACCAGCATCTAAAATAAATATAGACTTGAGTCAGTATTTTACTTTACGTGTATAACTATGCTTTAGTGTAAAGGCTTGATGAGAGTGACTTTTCTTGGTGCATTGTATTTCCTCGAGATGCTCTGGAGTGACCTGTGTTGGAGGTTATCAAGTTATCTCGTAATATCTGTGCCGTCTGAGTGGTTTTTTGCCATTTAATTCTGTCTTTGGAGAATACTTGTAGGGCAAACGTTAGATCAACTTATTGTCTACACAGTTGAAATCCAACCTACTTTTCCATTGCAGTTGCCTAAGCCAACTGTTTTCTTTTGTTTTCAAGCCCTTTCTATGTTCATCCTTAACAAGCCTTGTGGCTGGTGTGAATGTGCCAGTTAGATTTCTGCTGAGTTTGTATTTTGCTATCACCTCTTTTAATAGTTGCTTCAGCTTCTTTGGCCATATTACCCATATGGATTTTTCTCTAGTTTCTTCTTGCTCTGCTTTTTAATGCCCTGCTTTTTTTATACATATAAAGTTTACGATGCTGCTTTTTCTGAAGGTGTTTTTGAGCAGTTGATGATTGCTTTGGCTTGTTTCCTGTCTTTCATGCAATTTCTCATATCATCACTTATCCAGATTTTAAGTCTTGCCTGGAAAACAGCTATAGTTATTCTAGCATCAGTGATAACTGTCATGAAAAAAAGAAAAGATCCTGCCAAATTCAGTCTTCACAGGTGTGGCTGAAAATGCTTTTTTAAAAGGACCAAACATACACTTTTTCAAGGCAGAACTTAGCTAAGGCCATCCACTGGAATGTGGTACCAGCATCGGGAGGCAGAGTGCTTTGCAGGGTTGACCGTGGTGAGTGGAAGTGCCCTTCCCTGTGTAACATGGACCTCCCCTGCAGGGGCTTCTCAGCTGATGCTGCCCCTTGAACTTCCCTTTCAAGTGAACTGCCCATGAGCCTTTTCTTTTATGTTACATCTCTTTTGCTTGAAACAACTACTGCAGCAAAACAGAGAGGTGGATGGGAGATGAGATCCCATGGGGGGTATTCTTCCTGACCCACCAAAACCAGTGCCTTACTTTCCCTGAGAGCATTGCTTTGTAGGGTTTATTACACAGATGTGTTGCATGCTGTTATGCACAGAAGGAAGCAGGAGAAATAATTTGTGGCCATTGCAATTCTTAAATGAACACTTTTAGTGGGCTTTCTTCTTTTTTTCCCTAACATAGGGAAGGTTGAAGGTTTTGAGCTGGAAAAAGATGGCATCAAGGGCATCATGTTTAATAGTCAAGAAACAGTCTGTCATGTTCTCATGTGCACTTTATGTAGGTATGTGTATGCCTGCATATATGTGTGTGTGTGCATATAAAAAGATCTTTTATATATGAAAGACCTAAACAAAATCCAAACTAAACAAAAAACAAACAAACAAAAAAACCCCGCCCAGATTTCTGGGGGTGAAAAATAACCATAACTACCCTAATTGAATAAAAAGTAAATTTTACTTATTCCGGGGCAAAAAAACAGAGCCATGTTGCTCTAGACACTGCTAGACAATGCTCAAGTCTTTGTGCATATACATAAGCTCTGCAGATTGCTGCCTCTCAGTTGCAAGACAAAAGTTGTCTTTCTGATGGAGGAGTAGAATTACGCAACATCTTTGTTGCTGGCTCATTTGTTCTGCTGCTGGTGGTCAGAATGAACCATGAAGAATAAAAGTAGACGTGTCATTCGAGTAAGAGCATTCTGGGTCATGCTGGGAGTACAGGCTGTTTTGATATCTTTTCTACCCTGGCCTGTGTCCCATCCCTTGTTGTGGCTCTGTTCCTCTTCAGAGCACCAGTCACCCCCTCCACCTCTAGTTACACACTGGGGCAAAGAATTTCGGGTTGGCCCTTGCTGTCAGAAGCTCTGAAGCATGAAACATTATGTATGCTGATTATGGCCCAGATTTGAGTGGACTGAATTTCCCCGAAGTCATTGTACATTGGGTTTTCTATGCCTCTGTGAGGCTTAAAGCAAACTAGTAGAAATTGTTACGCGTGAGGCTGCAGGCTGAGACTCAGATGCTGCAGTTATGAGAGCTGTGCTTCTTGCCTTTCTCTTCCTAAGACCCCAGAAAGGATGGGGTAAGCAAGAGGGAGGTCCACAGAAGTGAAGAGACCATCGCATTCAGCCTAATTCTCAGCCCATGTACTTTCTGAAGGTTCTCATGCTCATAAAAGTGTGTCAGTCTTGCTTTGCTCAAGGATATTTAAATAAAAGTTTATAACTGGAGTCATTATGCCAGAAGCTGTCCTGGTCAAACGAGTTTGCTCTGCTTTTCTGAACTCTTCTTGCAAAGCAGCTCGGTTAAAGATTATCTTCAGAAAAGTCTCTGATCTAGGAAGTGATGAGACATTTTCCTCTCCGGCATGCTGTTCTACACAGAGCAATATCCTGTTCCAAAGTTAGATTTTCTTAATATTAAGCTTTGGTCATTGGAGGTAGGTCTTCCTAGCAAAGTTGGAAATCTCTTTCCTCTTGTGTTTTCAGCTGTATTTCCAAGGTGTAAATATCTCTACATGCTGAACAGACTTTCTCTCTGGTTTTTTTTCTTTACAAATACAGTAAGAATGAGCAGCCTGAAGAAAATTTCTCAGCTCCTTTACTAGTGTCCTTCAAACTCTCTCTGGGGTTTCTATGCCTTGTTGAAATGCAGGCAAAGAACAAGGCAATAGCATCCTGGCACTGGTCTCAACAATATCATGTACACAGAAAATACTAATTCTCTATAGTGCTTGGTACTGATGTGCAAATCCTCTGTTTTACCCTGAGACCTCAACTTATTCTGTGTCTCTGCTATCCAGAGAAGTCATCCACCAGTCAACACAGCCTTTGCCAGGTCTGTAATTCTTTTCCTTAATCCTCATTCACATTGACTACTGCAACAGAGGTAATGTAACTTTTATCACTTAGTATTGAGCTGGAATACATTATTTCTGTGACTTGTCACTGCAGTAGAAGGATTTTCCTTATACTCCATTTCAATATGTAATAAAAACTAGAAACTTCTCTGTATCCTCCCAACCCAGGAAAAGTGCAAAATGTTCTCTACAGAATACTTTACGATGCTGTACCCCCACACAGACTCGTGTGTCACATGAGTTTCATACAAATGTGAGCCGTCTCTTGTTAAATATTGGAATCAGATTACTCTGATAAAGAAACATCAGCAATTGAACAGTAGCAGCTACTTGTACTCTGGAGAATGGCAGCTGTGCTCATAAAAGTGCCTCAGCCTTTCTTTGCGAAAGGATATTCAAATAAAAGTTTGTAAAACTGTGTTACTATGCCAAAGCTATCCTTGTCAAACTAGTTTGCTCAGCTTTTTTCAGCTTTTCTCATGAGAGATCTTACTTTACCAGATACGCAGAGTATCCTGCTTCCCACGGGGTGGCTCTTAGAAGTAATCAAGTTGGTGGACTGGCTGCCCTGGCAGCAATCAGATAGTTGTGTTTGTTCAGGATTTCCACTTAGACCTACGCTTCGGCAAGTCGGTGTTTGTGTGAATGTCCGAAGCTTGCTCACTGCCTTGACGTATTGAAGTTTGAATAGAAATAACTAATTTATAGGCAGAGTAAACTGACAGCTACCTCAGCCAACTGTGTGATGGAAAATTGAATCGAATAGTGGATTGTTAATAGGTAGAGTCAACAGAATTTGGGTTGGAGCTGCTCCTGTGTGTTCAGCGTTGGCCAGGTGGATGCTGGTCGGTCTCTTTTCAAGTCAAATGTGATTCAGTCTCTAATAGCCCTGGTAAATTCAGAAATTATAATCTAAAATTGCTTGATGTCCACACTACTACTGACTGGAGGCTGTTATTGAGTATTTCGGGATTACTTGGCTCAGCACATGGTGGCATTTGGTACGTTCACAGGATGGTTGTGTGATAGCGCATTAAGCCATTCTTTTCTCAGGATGATGCTCTGGAGTCAGTGCTTAGAAAGGTTTTTGAATCCTTCTAGCAAAGGAGAAAAATGTATTTATAATCTAGACTTTAATCTCTGTTTTGCACTTCTGCACCTTCTCATGTGCTTCCGTGCCCTCTCTTGTGCTTTTGTGTGTGCTCTCTCTTCTTTTAAGCTTGAGTTGGTGCCTACCTGCCTTTTGGGTTGTCTTCTGGCACCTGGAGCCCTTCTGCACTTAGCAGTGTCTGATAATGGCATAGGCAGAGTTTAGGGAGATACTACTATTCCTCTCCTTGGCCAGGGCTGGTAGG